TTCAGGCAGAACACTGTATACATAATAAAAATAAAATTTTTAAAAATAATAAAGAATTAGAGTGATTAAGAGTATGGATTGTGAGGGGATGGGGAGATGGCTCAGTGGGTAAAGTGCTTGCTGCACAAGCATAAGGACCTGAGTTCAAATCCCCAGCAACTGTGTAAAAAATGCCAGGCATGACTGTGCACCTGTAGCCCCTGCCAGGAAGCAGAGACAGGCAAATTCGGAGACTTGCTGGCCAGCTACTCTAGCAGAAATGGAAAGTTCCAGATCCAGTGAATAGACCTTGTTGCAAGGAAATAAAATAAGGTGAGAAAATGATTAAAAAAGAATGACATCCCAACACTGACCGCCAGCTTACACACACACACACACACACACACACACACTCCCACTCACGCGCACACACACGGGGTGGGGGCACTGGGGTAGAATTGCCTGCAGCTGTATTTCTGATGAGGCACTTGATAGCTGGGTGATGATGGGCAAGGGGTCATTTTATCCCTCATTTGTAAAGTGAGATGTCAATCAAGGCTAGAGAGATACAGGCAAAGGATCGGAGTATTGCTTACTTCTTGGTAAGCCCTTAATAAATGCAAAATACCTCTAGTAGCCTCCATCGTCCAAGATTAATGCAGAACCTTCTATCTCCAGAGGGCCTTGCCTCAGACACTCAGGCCTTCTTCTGCTTCTTCTGTCTCTAGGTTCTTCCAGGAGCCCGTGACATAGCACCGCCTGGCATTTGCTGCTAGTCACTGTCCCATGTGCCCTGGTGTTGCTACCCCCACACACTCTGCAGGAACATGTAATTTGCTTTTATTGGATTTCCACAACTCAGAGCTTGGCCCAGACATCCCCCTCTCCCTCCGCCCACCGAGTTCGTGCACTGGAGGAATAAATAATTAGGAAGAACAGAATGGGTGGGGTTGCCTATGGGGACTATACCAAACAACGGAAGATGTGAAGGCGCATGTGCGGAATACTCAAGGCAGCTTCACAAGAGAGCACTGAGCCAGAAGCAACCAATGTTCTTCCACAGGGAGATGATTAAACCAGCATACCATGGGCCAGGACTCAGCAAGAGGGATATTTACTCTGCTTAGACCAAAGAGTGGAAAAAGCCAACCCTAAAAGGTTACATTCTGTATGTATCTGAGACATAGTTTCATTATGTAGCTCAGGCTGGCCTTGAGCTCCAAACCCTCTCTTGCCTCATCCTCTGGGATGCTGAGGTTGCAAGCTCACACCACTGTACCCAGAGGATCCGAGGTATAGAAAACTATCTTAAAATGACCATCAAACAAACAGGCTACAGAAATAAGAGGGTTGATGGTTCTGGCATTTAAAAGGAGCAGATCAGACAGGCTGGCAGCTTGCGGGACTGAATGCTTTGTCTTGATGGGTCCTGTGTCAGGGCCCTCCCTGAGACACTCTCTCATTGTTCTGCAAGATGCTGGCAGCAGCTGTGAAAATTCGTGTAACTACTTGTAAATGCACAATTATCTCAAAGTAAAGCATGCAGTTAAACACCTTTAAGGTAAGCCCATGGTAGCAGAGAGCATAGCTCTGGCTGCCCTCCAGGAGATGCACAGGAAGCCTTTTCCAGAAGGCCTTCAGTTTTCAGAGTTAAAGTTTATCAACCATATGCTAGCATTTTTCCCTTACTTGGAATTTAGCAGTAACAGTGTCTAGTCACAGAGAACTGTGTTTTCGTCTAACACAGTGGTTCTCAACCTTCCTGATGCTGCGTCCCTTTAATACAGTTCCTCATGTGGTGGTGACCCCCTCCCCAACCATAAAATTATTCCGTTGCTACTGCATAACTGTGATTTTGCTACTGTTATGAATCATAAGGTGGATATTTGAAATGCGACCCACATGTTGAGAACCGCTGGTCTAACAGGATCAAGATCCTCACCTTTTAAAATTTAATTTTATATGTACAGATGTTCCCTATGTGTGTATGTCTGTATACCCCATGCATGCCTGGTGCCCAGGGAGGCCAAAAGAGAACATCAGATCCCCTGGAATTAGAGTTAAATGTGGTTATGAGCCACCATGTGGGTAGTAAGAATAGAACCCAGACACTCTGGAAACCAGCCAGTGCTCTTTGTGTAGTTTTGGCTGTGGTGATATTTTGTGTATGCTCTAACAAATAAAGCTTGCCTGAAGATCAGAGGCCAGGCAGTGGTGGCACACACCTTTAATCCCAGCACTCAGAATGTCATGCCTTTGCTCCCAGTACTTGGGAGGCACACACGCCTTTAATCCCAGCACTAGCGAGTTTGAGACAGGAAGTGATATGGCTGGGCGGAGAAAAGGAATATAAGGTGGAAAGAGAAGGGAGCTCAGTCTTTTTCAGGCTGAGGATTGGGTAAAGGTATGAACTATCTAGTGACTGGCTGCTCTGCCTCTCTGATCTTTCAGCATTTACCCTGATATCCGGCTCCAGGTTTTTATTAAGACCAATTAGGATTCGTGCTACATTTGGATATCCTGGATCTCACTCTGTAAACCAGGCTGGCCTCGAACTCACAGAGATCTGCCTGCCACTGCCTCCTGAGTGCTGAGATTAAAGGCCCACGCGCCCCACCACCCTCGGGCTGTAGTCAGTGCTCTTAATTACTGAGCCATCTCTCCAGTCCCAAGATTCTCACAACTATTAAATTGATTTTTTAAATAATTCATTTTTACTTTATGTACATTGGTGTTTTTCCTGCATTTATGCCTGTGTGAAGGTGTCAGATCCCCTGGACTGGAGTTACAGACAGTAGTGAGCTGTCATGAGGGTGTTGGAAATTGAACTCAGGTCCCTTGGAAGAACAGCCAGTGCTCTTAACAGATGAGCCAGCTCTCCAACCCCTCTCACAATTATTTAAGTTGTAGAAATAAGCTAGAGATGGTCTTTTCCACTTTCCTTATGTCACAGACTGGAAAACTCTGTGTTGGGATAATCTTTTTGTACATTGTGTGAAGATGTGTTTCTGTCCTTCCTCACCTGCCTAAAGCACCTTCTGATTGGTTTCATAAAGAGATGAATGACCAATAGCTAGGCAGGAGAGAATAGGTGGGACTTCCGGGAGAGATAGGAACTCTGGGAAAGAATAGGAGAGGCAGGAGATTCTCCAGCAGAGGAAGTTGGGCATATGGTATTTAGGAGAGGTAATGAGCCATGTAGCAGGATATAGATTAATGTAAATGGGTTAATTTAAGTTTTAAGAGTCAGTTGGGAATAAGCCTACTTTCATAATTAATAAAAAGTCTCTGTGTCATTATTCAAGAGCTATTGATATAAAGAGAGACCAGATATAACGAAGTGACCAGCAAGAGAGAGGAGGCAGGAGTTGGGGTGGAGGGTGAATCAGAACAAAGCATTTTTTATATATATATATATATATATATATATATATATATGTGTGTGTGTGTGTGTGTGTGTGTGTGTGTGTAATATAGTGTACTTATTATATATGTAATATATGCATATATAATATATAAATATATAGAGAGAAGTATTACAATGAAACCCATTCTTTGTATACTAACTAAACATTTTATTTTATTTTGAGATGGGCAGGCTTCAAGCTCACTATGTAGCCAGGGATGATCTTGAATTTCTCATTCTCCTGCTTCTAAATTCCAAGTACTGGAACACAGGCATGTGCCACTATGTCTGTTTTATCCAGCGCTGGGCATCTAACCCAGGGCATCACAGATGCTAGACAAGTGCTTTGCCGACTCAGCTACACCCTAAAAAGTTAATTAAAACAAAACAAAACTGTCCTAGTTTGCTTCTGTTGCTGTGATAAACACCAGGACCAAAAGCAGCTTGGGGAGGAAAGAGTTTATTTGGCTGACACTTCCAGATCAGGTTCTGTCACTGAGAGATCTCAGGACAGGAACTCAAGAAGGAGCAGAGGCAGGGACCACAGAGGCACAGACCACGGAGGCAGGGACCACGGAGGCGGGGACCACGGAGGCACGGACCACGGAGGCACGGACCACGGAGGCACGGACCACGGAGGCACGGACCACGGAGGCACGGACCACGGAGGCACGGACCACGGAGGCGGGGACCACGGAGGAGCACTGCTTACTACCTTGTTCTCACTGGCTCCTGCTCAGCCAGCTTTCATAACACAACCCAGGACCACCTGCCCGGGAATGGCACCTCCCACAGACCAATCTGATGGAGGCAATCTCTTAACTGAGACTCCCTTAGATTATTCTGGGGTGTGTCAAATTGATGGCCAAAGGCAACTAGGAGGAAAAATATATATATATTATATTTTGAATTATATATATATATATATATATATATATATATATATATATATATATAGAAACTGCCAAGAATAGCGGTAATCCCACCACTTGGGAGACTGAAGCAGGTGGATTGCCACAAATTCCAGACTAGCTTGGGCTGCATAGGAGGTACCAAGATAGCCAGGGCTACATAGTAACAACCAACCATCTAACTGACCAACCAGACAAACAAACGTAGGAATATTTTTAAAAGACCGAAAGTCCAAAGTGATGTGGCTAGATCCCAGTCACTCTAGAATCCAGCCCCGCAAAGCCCCATACTGTAGTCTCACTTTTTAAAATCAAGGCAAGGGCTGGGGACATGGTTCAGTTAGCAGAGTGCTTGCATAGCACTTGGAGGCTCTAGGCTTGATCCCCAGCAGCGCAGAACAGACACAAAACCATAGACTAAAGAACAAACCAAACCAAAAACCGCACAAAAGAAAAGCAGGGCAAGTGAGTGTGCCTAGAAAAACACTGCTTCTCTAGTCTCATGGAGCTCTGGGCTCAGAGGTAGCTGAGAGGCAGCTGCCCACAGGGAAGCCAATTTTACCCAAAGAATTGAACCTACCAGGGCAGTGGGCTCCATCAGGACCCCAGTGGGGCAGAATAAAGTAAGATTTGGAAAACTGGAAGACAGAAACAAAGCTTTTTTTTTTTTTTTTTTTTTTTTTTTTTTAATTGCTGCTGGGCAGTGGTGGCACACACCTTTGATCTTAGCACTCTGGAGGCAGAGGCAGGCAGATGTGAGTTTGAGGTCAGCCCGGTCTACATAGTGATTTCCAAGACAACCAGGGCTACAGACAGAGAAACCCTGTCTTCAAAAACAAAACACAAAAACAAACAAACGAAACACCACAAAATCGCTGAGTAGAGTAGGGATGACAATCAGCTCTTCCACGCTAAGAGAAGGACTTCGCTGCCAGTGTACCCCAGAAATGTACACCCAAATGAGAGCTTTTCATCTGTGCCTAGCCAGTAGCCACTGCATAATCCATCACTTAGAGAAAAGCCAGACGAGAGACAAGAGATAGGACCATACACTTGCTGGACAGCACGGACATGCTTGGGACTTCTGGAGAGGGCACCTCTTTTCTCCCCCTCTTGCCTCTGTTTACCCATTCATCCAAAGGGGCTGTGTAAACTAGCAAAGCCATCCCTGCTTTCCCCTTTAATCTCTCTGTGGAGGCTGAGCACATAAATAGGAAATCACACCTACAGAAAGTAGGAGTGGCCAAGGAGGCTGGCCGAGCAGCTGCCAGTGTGTAGCGGACCGGAGAACTCCCTGGGTTCATGAAGTGGGTTCCAGCTTCCCCGGGAGTGTTGGTGGAGACACGCCACAGAGGAAGGGGTGGGAACGGTGGGAACTTCACTTTTTGGGAGACATTTTTGCCTTGCACAAACAGCCCCACAGTGAGTGAGTCAGAATTTCCGAAAGGCATAATTTTAGTACCCTTCTTGTGGTTGCCTCTCCAGGCTGCCTCTGAAAGGGAGGCTTCGGGCGGAGTTTCCTGTGCTCAATTCCAGAGATGACAGAGGGGCTCTCCCCCAGCCGTTTGCCAGAATTTTCTTTCCAGATATCTTTTTTTTTTTTTTAAACTTTGTAGCAGTAGTTAACGGCTTCCCAGCTGCGAATTCTCTCCACACTTGCACAGCGTCCTCAGGGTGTCTTCCATCTATGTGGGCTGCTTCAGAGTGGGAAAGGATTGCTGAAGAAAACAAGGCCCTAGACTAGTGAGATGGCTGGGTGGTACAGGTGGTGAAGGCGCTTCCTGCCAAGTGTGAGTTCGATCCCCGGGACGGCATGGTAAAGCAAATGTACCGATTTCCACAAGTTTTCCTCTGACCTCCATGTGCTCACTGTGGCACTGGACCCTTCCTTCGGTTAAATAAAGAAATATAATTTAAAAACTATTTTTATTTTATTTTTACTGGAGCTGGGGATGGAACCCAGGACCTTATGCATGCTAGGCAATGTTCGACCACTGAGCTAAGTTCCCAACCCCAAAAATATTTTTTAAAAATGAGCAACAATACCAAAGCATAGTGGAGTCCTGGTTTTGATGGATGTACACAGCAGCCTCGCGAAAAGCACCAAGTCCTGTAAAGACAAAGATAACACCAGCAGCCAACCTATCAGTGTATATGCAATGGTTTGCGTGTGCTTGTGGTGTGTGCATGTGTATTTGCATGTAGAGGCTAGAGGTCACCATCTATTAAGTGCCCTCTCCTTATTGCACTCCACCTTATGTTTTTGAGGCACGGTCTCTCATTGAACCTAGAGCTTGTTTCAGCTAGACTGGCTGGACAGAGAGCTCCTGCAGTCCACCTCCTGCTGCGCCCGCCTTAACAGATGTGTGCTAACACATTGGCTTTTATGTGAGTGTTGGTGATGAGCACTCAGGCTTCACGCTTGCACACAAGTACTTACTCCCCAGCAATCTCCCCAGCACTTTCATATGTGATGGCATTCTGCAGTTCTTATTTTTATCATTTTTGTGTGTTTCACCTGTGCAATGCCATTGCTATCTCCTCCACCCCACCCCCCAGTATTCTAAGAGGTTACCTGGCTCACTCAGTTAATAAACAATAAGAAGGCAAGGCTTGGAGTTTGAGTTTCTGTTGCTCTGAAAGACTTAGCCATGGTAGGGACAGTTCACCTCTGTGAACCCCTCCCCACATTCCCAGAGACTAGCATATGGTTGGCCTCTGTAGGTGTGTGATGAAAGACTTGAATAATCATACGCCAGAGACCCTAGCCATCATATCACACTCAGAACCATAGTGAACAGCTCCTGACAAGTGGTCCTCAGGACACCAAGCATGAAACCATACAAGTGTCTGAATTAGACCTTTTTAACAGAAGAAGGAAACCAAGGAAGAGTATAACCCAGCTGAGGGTTGTGAATTGGGGTGATTGGCACCATAGTCTCCCCGCAAGACAGGGTTTCTCTGTGTAGCACAGGCTGTTGGAATTCACTCTGTAGACCAGGCTGACCTCAAACTCAGAGATCCACCTGCCTCTGCCTCTGGAGTGCTGGGATTAAAGGTGTGCAGCTCATAACTGGTCACTCCTAGCTGCCTCAGGCCACTTTTCACTGCAGGTCTGGGACTTCAGTGGGCCAATGGCTCCTGTATTCACAGCAGTGGCAGAGCCAGCTCTGCCCCAGTACAAGGCACCTGACCCCTCGGGTGCTTGGCTATCCCTTTCAGGTGAAGCTAATTACACTTCTCCTAACTCCCAGGAGGATCTTTGTAAGGATTTAACAAGGGGAAGCTGGTTGAAAGCATTCTGAAAAGCAAAAGCCTTATCCAAATGTGAGAATATAGTAACTGTTAGTCACCTCCTGCCTGGCTGCTGTAACACCCCCCAAACCCCCGGGGCACACAGCAGCACCTTGATGGACCAGAGGTGCTAGACCAGGGGAGGCCTTTTGTGTGGATCTTCTCAGAGTAATTATGACTTAATGAATGGGCTCCCGCTAAGGAGTGGCTGAGCCTCTGGCACTCTGGCTTCAAACAGGGTCCACCCCCAGTGTTAATCTCCAGGAGTTAGGAGCTTTACCTACTAACTCCTGCCTCTTCCTCAATCTAGAACAAAACACACACATACATGCACACACACACACACACACACACACACTCACACACATACCCACACTCAAACTCTTTCACTCACACACACACTCTCATGCACACACACACACTCTCTCACACATACACTCTCTCGCTTTCTTACACACACTCTCTTTCTCTCTCGCACACGCATACACACACACTTCATTACTCTCTGGTCCTGTTTGACTTTAATCTCTTAGGACAGTAGCTTTTACACTGACTTATTCTGCCAGCTCTGCTAAGGAACCAAGCAGCAGGACACTGAACAGCCTTGGGTCTGTACTGGAGACTCTCGCCATCTATTAAGTGGACTGGTCACGCCTGCACCATGAAGACAGAGAGGCTCACGTGGTACTAGTTTTTCAAGCTGTGATCTCCTTGGCAGCAGGCTCTCCATTCAGAAGAGAGAGTCAATCAGGAGGATCTGTCACTGCCTGGAAGAGATAACCTTGGAGCCCTCGGGTGTTTTGTTCTGTCTTTTTTTTTTTTTGAATGCGGTTGAACAAAGTCTGAGGGAAGGGGAAGTGGGGTGGTTAGGTGCAAATCTTAGGAACCTGGCAGGTGGAGGAGACTGGCTTTAGGCAGTTGCTAGTGCAAAGGCCCAGAGGCAGAGAAGATTTCTTTTCAGAAGCAAGGTTGAGGGGGTGGAGTCTGAAACAGGGATTGGCCAATGGGGTGGGAGGGTGCTAAGTTGGGTCTAGGACAGCAAGAGAGGAGACGGACATTCTTGGGTCTTGAGTTTAGTGGGAGGTTTGCTGTATGGGTGGTTAGTGGGCTGGGGAGTGGGAAGGGATGGGGAGAGTACCTTCTACTAGATTGACTGACAGATGTCATTTCATTCTTGTATTTGGTGACCTTGCCTGTGTCCCCTGCTCCCCTCTGTGAGGGCAACATCTGCCATCCTTTGATCACCTCCCCAAGTCTAGACAGGCCGGAGAATTTCTTCCCCAGGCTCTCCTTCGCTTGGGTGGCCCCCACGATTTTCTGGAATGGGCTGGCACAGGTGAAGACTCCGGATCGGATCCATAGACCCTCTAGACTGGCATGGACACAGTATTCCCGCCCTCTCGTGCCTTAGTTTTGGGACGGTGAGATTCGTCCTCCCCCTTGGTTCCCCAACTGCAGTGTGGCGGGGCTCCGGGCGGGTCCCTAAGGGGGCGGGGCGATCGCGGTGTCCCCCGCCCCGCCCTGGCCCGGCCCCGCCCCGCCCCGGAGCCGCCCCGGGACGTAGGGCGCAGGAGGGACTCGGCCCAGCTGCCCTCGGCGCCGCGCTCCGCACGCTCCGGGCAGGGTGAGTGCCGGCAGGGAGGCGGGGGGCCGCGCGGGGCTGGGGAGGGTCGCGTCCGGGTCCCCAGCGCACCCCTGTCCTGACACGTCCCGGGAGATCGGCGCCACGGGAAGTCTGGGGGACCCGGGGAGGAGCGCGGGGGCGGCGGCCAGCATGACAGCTGAGGGCGGGCGGGGCTTCGGTTCAAATGCAACCGCTTCATCCGCTGCGAAATCCCGGCACCCTAGAGGCTCGGCCGCAAGACGCCGCAGTGCCTGGGGTAGCGCGTCCCCGGGGCCAGGTGTCTTCCTTGGTCTCCCCTCTTCGCCTCTAGAGGCCGGAGAACCTGCTAATGCGCTCACATGTCCCCAAGGGCCCGGAATGTCCCATTCTGGGGACCACGAGCTCGACAAGCAGAGTCTGAGAGCGCGGAGTGAGGAAGGAAAGTCCCACCCGGTGCTCTTCGTTTCCTTCAGTCACCTACCTCGCTGTGCATCCTTGGGCGAGTGGCACAGTCTCGCTGATCCCCATCCTACCTCTCTAAGGGGAACTGGATGTTGGCTTCACTTGAGGTCAGATCTGCAGCCCGTTCCCAGACCTTGTGTCTCACGCAGCCTGGCTGGCCCCTGCTTCAAAACTGTTCCAAGGGTGGTAACATTTAATCTCTGGCTCTGGGGCGCTTTCCTTGTATCTTTGGAGACCTGCTTCATCTCTGTAGGGATGGCTTCTTTCTACAATGGATAGCCAGGGTATGCTTGTGGGGTGACTTTAGTGCCAAGGGAGGACAGACCCCGCACATCATGGGTGGGAAAAAGCGACTGGTCTTCTCGTCGGGAACTGTGTGTCACACTGGGCCCTGCAGCTTAACTTTCATCTACCCAGAAAAGAAGAAACAACGTGAGAGAGGGGGTGTGACTTGCTCAAGGCGGCACAGCCAGGATCCGTGTTGCACAGGAACTTGGCTCTCTGAAAGGCTTAGCTTTGCCTCTTGCTGAGGGAGTGAGGGGAAGAGGAGGGAGAGCCAACAGCTCACAGGGGTCAGGAGCTGGGAGGTAGGAAGGTGCCTCTGTGCCAACAGGCTGTTTTGCTGGCTTTCCTGTGAACTGTGCCCCTAGAGGGACACTCCAACACACGTGGGCTCTCACATTCCCCCTGGCCTGCTGACAGTTACAGCTGAGCCAAGCTGCTCCCCGGGAGCCAGAGAGGCCCCTCTGGGGGTGGCGGTGTAGGAATGTACCAGGAGGCCTTATTTCTGGAGTCACTGAGGGAGGGATGGGGTGAGAACCCATGATCCTTTGTCCCCTCAGTCCTGAAAAGACCTCAGGGTGTGGCAGAGCTGTTCTGTCTCCACGGGAACAACTGTCCACCCTCCATGGGGGCTTTGCGTGCTTTGGAGTGACTATGGACCCAGCCCTGCCTGGGCAGCCTCTTTGCCTAGTGATACAGAGACTTGGGGTTGTTGGGGGATCCTGGTGTGGCCACTCTGGAAGGCATGACTGGGCAAGGGAAGCGTTGCCTCCAAAGGACCCTGGAATCTGTAAGCACAGAGGCCTCTGGCCTCTTGTGTCCTCTTGCTGTAAGGGATGGGGGGAATGTGGGGGGTGTGGCCAAATCAGATGGCCACTTTGGCCTCACCTAAGTGTGTGGCTTCAGGCTAGTTGTTTCACTCATTAGTTTCAGAAAGGGGGCACCCCAGCTCCCCAAAGCTCCTGTGTCATTGAGGCATTATGGATATTTACAGTCTTTCCTGTGGTGTGGATATAGCAAAGGTTAGTGTTTTTGTGGTTTAAGGTATATGTGTGGTGGGGGGGGGGGCTTGATCAGGATACCTGGGGTTTCTGCTATTCCTCTTTCCTCTCTGCCTTGATTTGCCCAAATCTGTCAAACAGTCAGTGCTCTGGATCACCCCCCCTGAGGTCCTGTCAATATTGGAAACTTGTCCTTGACTCTGGGAGGAGGGAGATAAGAGAAAGCCTATAGGGCATTCAGGTGTGACTGTGGAGTTTTAGGATTAGTGTATTCTGTTGTTCACTTCCTGTGTCCCTGGTGGGTGGCAAGGACGACATTGCTAACTACAGATAAGGAGACTGATAGTATATCCACTGACTGCGTGGTTGGTCCACGATTTGAACTCCAGACCTTTGACTCGGTGCTGTTCATTACTTTACACATCCTGTCTTGAACAATCCAAGGACAATGTTGTGTTTTAGTTACTGGAAAAACTGAAGATCAGGCGGGTCCCAGTCATCATCAAGTCGCTGATGGAAAGAAATGAAAACATGGATTGTGACACACACACACACACACACACACACACACACACCCTATAACATCAATACATTTTTGGTACCAAGACAAGACCCAGGAGGAGCAGACAAAGAGGGGACATGACATCTCCCAACCTCAGGATTCTTAGCTCTAGGTTTAGCGACCATACCTGAGACTGTGTGACTAGGAAGCAGATGAGGACAGCTCTCCAAATCTGGAGCCCTGATTTCATCTCTAAAGTGATGCCACTCCCTTCCGGGTTGCTGAGAAGAGAAATCAAGGTGGTGCTCTGGGGAACCTAGAGGGCAGGGCTGACCAGAGGCAGCAGTCCCCGTCCATACTCTTGCGTGTCTTTTTCCTGCCTTTATGACATAGTGTCGCTGGGAACCCACTCTGCCTGGGGCCCAAACTGCACAATCCTAGCATCTTCTTAATCCAGCAGGGAGCCACTGAGGAAAGCTCAAAACACTAGGATGATGGTGAGCTGAACGAAGAAAATGCACCTAAGTGTGGGGATGGACTACCTTAACTGGAAGTCACATGCCACCATGGTGTGACAAGGAGCAGGATTAGGAGAATGTTGGTAGTTAGGATAGAAAAGCACTTTTCAATCATTTGCTAAGCATTTGTATATGTTCTAATTTGTATAGCATCTGTGCCGATTTTAATTTACACATGAAACATTTTTTTTTAAGAGAGAGAGTGGTCTCTTGTAGACTAGGATTCCCTAGAGTAGATAAATAGCTGAGGAGGGCCTTGAAGTCCTAATCCTCCTGTCTCTACTTCCCCTGAGTTAGAATTGCAGGCACGTGTTACTCCACCTGGTTTATGCAGTGCTGGGGATCAAACCCAGGGCTTTCCTGCATGCTGTGCAAGGACTCCACCAATTGAGCCACATTCTTGGGCCAAGTTTATTTTGAGACAGGGTCTTGATATGTAGATGGAGCAGGCTGTGAACTCATGATCCCCCAGGCTCAGCTCTACCGTGCTGGGGTTGTAGACATGCCTTGCTGTGATGGGTTTAAGGAGGTGTATAAAAGAAAAAAGAGCAAGGGGATGTTAGTGTGAACCAGTGTGGCTGTTTGGGGGGTAACTAGTGAGGGATGAGCCTGTTCCCTTCTCCTTAGCACCCATTCTGTTCTTTTTCCTCAACTCAGTACAGGCCTTGTGTGTATATGTATTTAAGATAGAATGTTTATTACAGGTATTTATTATATGTAAATGCACATGCGTGCTGTAACCTTCGTGTGGAGGTCAGAACAACTTGTCAGGACTCAGCTCTTTCCTTCCACTATGTAAGGCTTGGGGATGGAACTCAGGGTGTCAGGCTTGCCTGCAAATGCTTTATCCACTGAACCATCTCCATGTATTTTAAAAATATTTTCACATTCCATTATTACAAATAGGAGATATATTCTCCCTTACATCAAACCTTATGTAGTATAAATAAAATTGAAAGATAATAATGAGCATGTTTGGAATCTTTGAGAAAACTATTCATTGGACTCAAATGTTCATCTGGCTGAGTTTAAAAGAAAAAAACACAAGCCCCCTCCCCCCATGGGACACATGTGTTCCCTTTATTGCAGAGACACACTATCCCTCTCCATTTGTCCTACAAGACCAGACAATGGCCAAGCTGGGAATCTCAAAATAAAAACAGAATGTCTTCAAGTTCTGGCCTAATGATTTACACTTCCAAACCGTGAAATCATAACATTTTTTGAGCTGGGAGGGACTTCCGGTCACCTGGTTCAGTTTGCTGGTTTAATAACCCCAAGAAATGCCCTGGCCAAGGTCAACACAGGACACAGATGTACATAAGGAGGACAGTTCACGATGGCTAGCCACACCTGTGCATGACTCTCCTAGGGACACCACCTGTCACATGAGCCTGATGCCCTGGGATCTCATCCTCCTCCTGAGGGCAGGCAGGGAGGCACAGGTGTCATGCCTGAGATGACATTGATTTCACTGACAATGTCGGGAGAGCCACAGTGTGTGCGCAAGGTGACTCATGAACAGAAACCTCACCGAAGGCGGTACATGAGCTTGGCTTGGAGTCTTGTTTCCGAGTCCTCTAAGGCAGCTGCTTTCTCATTCTGTTTGATAATTTATTCCCAGACTGCATAGTGCCCTGGGTATGATCAGTCCTGGTTTGCTGTTGCTGGGGAAACAGGTTCACAGAGGTGGGCGATTTCCTTCAAATCCCACTGCAGGTGAGGGTAGGGCAAGAGAACCTGCAGCGAGATCTGAAAAGATGGGCTCTTTTGTTTTCTCACGTGCTGGACTGTGAACACATTGTTTTCACTCCCGAGAAGCAGAAAGTCTGGCCAGCCCAGCCTGGCAGGCCACAGGGAAATGGCCTTGTGGAAAACAGATGGGCGGGGTCCTTGTAGCTGTCAGGTGGCAGGACTCTGAGCTGACAGTCCCAGCCTGCCCACACTGCCCCATGCACAGAACATGCTGTCTGCAGGACAGAGGTGGGATGCACCCGAGGCCTGCTTGGTTTTGTCGGGGTGTATCTGGGACACCCTCAGATCCCTAGTGACCTCCTCTCTTCCCACCGGAAGGTGTTCTTCCTGCCTGCCCCCCGGAGAGGTAGGTACCTGTGTACTTATGTTTCCTAGGTACCTTATGCATAGGATATTCTTAGTGCCCTTGTGTTTTGAAAACAGGAGGTCAAGTGTGGCATCATGGTGGTGCTTGTAGCGTTCTGGGTTTTAGAGCATTTCTGATTTTCAGATTGGGGATGTTCAACTTGTATTTAGAAGCCACAGCTGCAGTGGAGAGTAAGAGAATTCCAGAGTTCTAGATAACCTTGTCTGAGCTTGTAATTTTACATACAAGGAAACTGAGTCTCCACAAACAAAGGTGTGTGTGTGTGTGTGTGTGTGTGTGTGTGTGTGTCTGTCTGTCTGTCTGTCTGTCTGTCTGTCTGTGTGTATGCATGTAGGGGCCGGACATCAACCTGGGAAGTTGTTCCTTAAGCAGCTGGCCACCTTGGTTTTTAGACAGGGTATTTCACTGACCTGAGACTGGCCTGATGTGGATAGACTGGCTGGTCAAGGAGCTCGAGCATTCCTTCTGTCTCTACCTCCTCCCAGGGTTCCTCCTGACTGTTGTCCACCCAGCACTGGTGGACAACAAGTGTATACCACCACACATCATTTTGAAACCGTGGATTTCAGGGATCGAATTCAGATCCTGCTAGCAAGGCAAGCAATTTACCAACTGAGCCAACTCCCCAGCCTGACTGGCTCAAGTCTTCCAGTCCTCAGGGTCAAGAATGGACCTCCTGACTCCCACCCAGTGCTCTCACTCACGCACCTTCCCTAGTACTCCACGCCATTGCTGATGGTGGTGTGACCTCACGGCCACACGAAGATGGGAAGGTTGGTTGACTGGGTTAGGCCCCAGCCATCATCACCAAGCTGGGAGTGGTGGGACTCCAATTAAGCCTCAAGTTTTATGTGAGATCTGAGATGACTGAGCCCCTCCCAAGAAACATTTAACTAGAATAATACCCTAGGCTGACTCACAGAGGCAGCCTCTTCCCTCTGTGCTGGGAGGAGCTGCCTTTTGACCTTCAGCAGTCTCAATAGCCTGCTCTTTAAGATGGGAGGCTCGATTTAGGTCTCTGTGAGGTTTGCTCACTTGGAAGCCTAGCAATAGGTGTTTGGGGACCTGAGATTCACCCCTGCCATGTGCCCACCCACCCAGAAAGGGACAGATTTCTTAGGCTGCTCTTTCTTTCCCTAAGTATTGGGTCTGCCCTCCTTCCTGCCCCCAGGATTGCTTTTGGGTCCCACAAAGCCCCACATCCATTCTGACTTAACTACCCTCACTACCCGTGGCAACTTCTGCCAACTGCCCTTCCCTTGCTCTTCCTCCGGCACGTGGTAGCCATCGCCTCCTAGAAGATTCCACCGGATTATCATTTCTGTTTTCTGTTCTCTTGTACTTTGCTACTGATATTTAATCAGTGGTTTCCAGAACTCAAGTCTGGTTCCCCACCTGCCTATTGCCCGTTCATCTTCACAGCTCACTGGCAGCCCAGAGAGAGGCAGTTATAATTATGACTAGACAAAAGGCTTTCCAGCCTAAATAAGATCTGACAAAAGCCAGGGGAACACATGCTCCAGGCTGGGGAATGAGGTGGGTGGGGCAGACCCTACTGTTTCCAGGATACTCAGAACCTCAGTGAGCCCTGGAGGGAAGACCCAAGATAAGCGGTGACACCTGTCTTTATCTCTCATGATCCTTGTCCCTCAGGGGTCTATCTGTTTCTGGGAGCTCTGAAGGCCATCACTGGAACTTTGATAATGCCTTGACCTCACTGGTGGAGCACACCCAACTCCTCTCCTTTGCTGGGAGCCCCCACCCCACCCTTTCCATTTCAGGATCAGGACCAGGACCTCAGCCCATGGTCCCAGCCCATGAGAGAGCTTTCCGCCCACACAGTAGCACCATCCCGCATTCACCAGCAGGGTCTGTCTTATCACTGGGTCACTGTCATCCCAGCACTTAGCACTGTCTGAGATGTGAGCTGTGTCTATTGTCTGTCTCCTCTACAGGAACTCAAGAGACACTGGGCAGGGACCAACACCAGCCAGCTTTGCTACTCAGTATATGGTTTCCCTCTGGCATCTCCAGAGGGCTGGTTCCAGGAACCCCGAGGGTATTGGATGAGTTGTACAGAACACTTGTGGGAAAGACTTAAGGAAGGGAGGGTTTATCTTGGCTTGCGGGTGGAGGTACAGTCTGTTATTGGCAGGGAAGGTGTGGCATGCTTGGCTCAGCTCCCTTTCTTCCTTTTAATTCAGCCCAGGATCCCTGCCTGTGAATGCTGCTGCCCATCCTCTCGGGTTTTCCCTCTTCAGGGAAACCTTTCTGGGAACACCTTCCTAATCACACATGGGGGTTTGTTTCCATAGTGATTCTGCATCCAGTCATGTGGACAATGAAGAGTAACTACCAAGACACCAAATCAATGACACTCAGCCCCTTCTATAAAACACATCCTTACATAATTTATGCACGCTACATACATCTTTCCCCCTTTTTCCTTTTAGTGTGCTTTTGTTTGTTCTTAGACAGGGTCTCTATGTATAATCTAAGCCTGCCTAGAACTTGAAATTCTCCTGCCTCAGCCTTCAAGCGCTAGAATTACAGGCAAGCAGCGCTATATCTAACTCTTAATGTATAGCTCTGGCTGACCTGGAACTCACTGTGATCCTCCTGCCTCAGCTTCCCTAGGGCTGAGATTATAGCATGAGCTACCACACTGGCTCTCATGCACTTAGAAACCCTCTTTAGACTCCTTACAATCCCAACCCAAGGTAGATGCCATGCTAGGCTGTGTTATTTAGGGAAGAAGAAAAACAAGTCCACTCAGGACAGATGCAAGTGTTTTCTGTCTGTCTGATGGCATCCTCCTTGGCTGTGGAAGTAGAGGGCTGACCATGCCTGCAGATTCAGTGATGGATGGACTGGGCCATATAAGAGATTCCCTGCCCAGTCTGCCATGACAGCCAGCCTCTCTCTAGTGGGCACTTGCTGAGGGCCAGCATTGCACAGTGTTCTTTGCTTCTCCTTCTCCTCATCCCACAGCAATTCTGAAAGGTGTGCTGACGTCACCCCTGCTTGACAGAGAGTTGACAAATGACCTGCCCTTGTCATCTTCAGGTGCCAGAGGAGTTAGAAGTTGAATTCAGGTGCTCGGATGCAGGCATCACAGTTGGATTGTGAAAGTGGAGAGCAAACCTAGACTTCAGCCTTCCAGCTGGGCAGCTCCCGGGCCTTTCCTATGCCAAGCCATTCCTCAGGGGAAATCCTTTCCCCAAGATCATGCATGGGCCCAAGAATGCCACAGGTCCCCCAGAGCAAGAGCCCCACCCCAGAGGGCCCTCTCTGTTCCCTCCCCCTTTCTAGAACTCCACTTGCAACTTGTGGGTTGGCTATTGAGACTCACTGACCACAGGCTGGGAGTTGTAGGTAGCACGTGAGCCAGTTGAAGTTGCCAGGTTAAACGGTCGGTCGTTCACCGGCCCTGGGCAGCCGGCCTGATTATGTAATTTGCCTGCTTGTCTATTTATGGACTTCAAACTTAGCTTGGCTTGGAAATGATTTTAAGGAATAGATTTTTTTAAAAAGTTGTTTTTTGTTTTTCTGGAGGCTTCTCTCATTTCTGCTTCTTCTCTCTGGGTAAAACCAGCCAGTAGTAGGCTGGCTTCCCCTGGGTGAGGTCTTGGCTTCAATAAGGAGGACTGAGGATGGTCCTGTGTATGTCACCCACAGGAAACAACAAGGTTAGTCATGAAGCTCCTAGCAAGAGCTGGCTGTGGTCTGGAAGCCAGAGAGACACGTGTTTGTGGCTGGGATCTGGGCTCTTCCGCCCTGTAACCCACATACCCTGGACAACTGCATTCCATCCATGTGCTTGACCTTGACTGAGACGGACTGGGTAGCAAGATGCCAGGGACACGTCCCTGCTCTGTGGGAACAGTTTGGTGGGTAGGAAGTGTGCTCTAAACATAGGCCACCCTAGCTGGTGACAACCTGGAGGGAGGGAAGCTCAGAGGGCTGGGAGGGCCTGGGAAGCCTTTAAACACACACACACACACACACACACACACGCACACGCACACGCACACGCACACGCACACGCACACTCCCCTGCATGCACAACGTGCAGGGGAGAGCCGAGGGAACTCTCTGGCATCTGTTCTCCTTCCACCGTATGGATCCAGAGAGTGGCACTCAGAACCTTAGGCTTGGTGGCAGGCCCCCTCACCCACAGTGTCATCTGGCTGATGGACAAGGCCTTAGAATTTCACCCAAGAGCAGTCTCACTGGGCCTCAACTCCCTCTTCTAGGGAGAGTGGGGAGGGAGGGGCTCCTTTTATCATCTTGCTGGGTCTGTGAGGTGAACCCCCACCCCAAGAAGTCAGGGGTCATGGGTTGCTCAGTCACCCCACAGAGCAAAGTTTTGCTTACATCAACTCTATGCGAAGGTCAGTTCCACTTTTATTTAGTCAGTTTCTTTCTATTCCTGGGCCTGAGGTACAATGCGACAGACCTGGTGGGACCCTGATTCTCGCGCCTGCAGTGTATCTTGGCCGTATCATAACCTTGTACAGAGCTAACTCACCTGTCCAAGGAGCCGGCCACACCTTCCCTGATCCCTGAACATCCATCCTCTCAGGGTACTCCTCCCCCTTTTCCTGGGGTCCTCCCAGGTGGGGAGGACAGGCTGCAGGAAGCTGAGCAGTTCTGCTCCCCCCACCCAGGGCACCTGCAGGGAGTTGAGCTGGCACCGTGGCTGGTGACTCTGCCCTCGGCTCAGGTGACAGGATGCAAGCTACAAACCTCAGTCTTGGTTTCCTTTTTCTCTTGCGGAGTTAACCGGGGTGTGGGGAGGGCCAAGGTCTCTGCGGTGGGCCCCAGCACACTGAGAGCTGCTGTCTGATTTCCAGCCTTGATGCTCCTGGTTCTCAATGTAGAACTCAGAAGAGGGAAGTGCTCCAAGCCAAGGACAATGCGTGACTGTCAGAGAAACTGGATATCACAAGTTCCGAGGACCAGATAGGCAGGCAAGG